GCGATGGTTCGCGTTTGGCGATGGTTTTCATGTTTTCCCGCGTTTAGCTACGGCTGCATAGTTTTTCCCGCGTTTGGCGATGGTTTTATGTTTTCCTGCGTTTGGCCTCGGCTCCGTGTTTTTCAATCGCATTCAGCGATGGTTCCACGTTTCCCCGCGTTTGGCTTCGGCTTCATGGTTTTGCCGCGACTGATTCTGATTACTGGTTCAATGCGACAGCCAACGGTTCTCGATAGCCTTCATACAACTGACTGTTCTGTTGTCTTTTGACATTTCTTAGTATGATATATCAGTACACCTACGAGAAAATCTTCACCGACCGCTGGCTAGCCTAACAGCAGATTCATCTGACGTGACTGACAAGCGGTCTGTACCCAGAGTGCCTGAGATTTGTTTCATGTCAGATGACTCCAGTCCTGAGAGTATAAGCTCGTGGTTGGACAACAAGTTTACTGCGGACACGACAAGTCCTCTCTTACAATGTGAATCGTGTAAACTGCTTGTTCATGCAAGTGAGTTCCTATCCATGCCTGCTTATTAAATAAATATTCTTGTCATAGTTCTAGTCTAAAGAAAAATTTATTGCCTTCTCGATTAGAAAGTTCTTGGGAGTGTGTTATAGTTTTCGTTGTTTTAATATACTATTGAGGTCCTGTTGAATGGGATTAAAACAGATTGCAATCGTGATGTCTTCATTTATGGGCATAGTTTTATTCTCGAATAGACCTTTCCCGCATTCCAACAAACAATGGCGCCGAGTCGAGGTCAGGGTGGACAAAAATACAACAAATGTATGAAAATGTCCACCCCAACCTCGTTCTGGTGCTATTGTTCGAACGCACTGAAGTGGAATGCGGGAAAGGTCTATAGATATTTTACAATAACTGTCTAATTTCTCGCGCGCTGATTGGCTCATTTTTATCATCAATAAGAGTACAGACGGGTAAAATTTTAATTTATGCAAGCTTTCCAGTTTAATTTTCAGCTGTCAAACTGTCAACTTTTTAGCCAATGAGATTTTATGAGCTTTTTTAAGTAGCCAATCAAAAAGCGAGAAAAGCTATTGACAATGTTCGCGTCATTTTGAATAAAATTC